CTAATGTGGGGATCAGAAATTCTAAAATCTCATTAATATTCATTCTTTGAAAATTAGTTGTAATTAGAAAAAGCCCGATCTCCGTTATATTTTGACATTGGTGATAAAGGAATTAGAATAAAATTTAATCGGCGAGGCAATAATTAAATTAAAAGCAGTTTTAAACGACCGGTTTCCAAATACCTACATATCATTAAGTTGTGTTTTACAAAACTCATCCGAATACTTTAAAAAACGTTTATTTTTAGTCAATTGACAAGTAAATAAATATAAAATTGTTATTTAAAATAAGTTTGTGGGCTTGAGTATTGCTTTTTAAATTCGGTTAAGAGGATTAAGAGAAACGAAACATAAAGGTGTTTTCTATTCAAATTTTGTGCGAGATTTATTGAGGAGCACGAATATTCTTGTAAAATCGGACACATCACCATTTTCTTGGCGGGAAATCGCGTCATGCTAATAAATCATTGTGCACTGAATTACCATACAACAATATGCTTTTAAGGCCATTTTAATTAATCTTGTTATAAATAAAATTCAACTTAAGGACAAGTTTCGTGTAAATTTATTGCGACATCGGTTTGGTAAAGTCTTGCGGTTTCGAACCGGCAGTTAACACGATGTATTCCTCAATTAAATTGAAAACGGCAACGGAACGGTTCGGTGTTATCTTATCCTGTCTTAATCCACGACTTGGCTTAATCCTCTAATGCAGCGGTCGGCAAGCCGCGGCCCGCGGGCCGCATGCGGCCCGTGAGCCTCCACCTTGCGGCCCGCGATTGTTTTGTAAATAAATGTCTTTTCATTCGGAATTATTTTAATTGCGCTCCAAAACTGAAATCTGCAACATCCGCGAAAGCAAGCGGCGAACGTGATGACTCGTCCCCGCCCTCGCCTCGCCGTTTTGGTGGCAATCGAAAGAAACGTCCAGTGCGATGACGATTGCCGCCCGTGTACCAACTGTGCTGGCTGATCGAGTAAAACGAGTTATAGTTACATATATAATTGGATCCACGGCGAGTCTAATGCACTAGTCTTTAAAAACTGCCATTGCGGTCATTGCAACTTTCTCTCGAAATTCCGCTTTTTCAAATTTATGCTTCTGTTTGGTCTCGTGCAATTCGCGATAATGCTAACTTATTACCGTGCTAATCTCTATTTACAACAATGTACTCATGCATGACCCGAAAATAAAGCAAAAGACGTTTCTGGGACGGCGGCGTTAAGCTCAGCTAGCTTAATCGACGGATATTTGAATATCTGCAGGACTATCTCTTATTGTTATTATACCGGGCGGCTCATAAATACACGACTAATTTCCGTGTTTATCTCGCAACTTTGTCCGCGAGGGATGCGCCAAAATACGAGACACGAGATAAACCTGAGTAATTTGCGAAACTATTCAAGTCTTGCACTCTTCCTAATGACACTGAGTGACTAACAAGAGAATTAGTGATTGATGTTGATGAAAAAGCACTTAAAAGTGATTAAAACTAGCGATTTGGGCCTCGCCCTATAAAAAATAAAGTTTCAGCTTTATTAAAATGAGATGGCCGCGGCCCATTTCTACTTTTTTACATAATGTCGGGTCGGAAAAAATCCGGTGGTTTCATAATACGCATCTAAAAACAGTATGTAAATTTTGCGGAAGGGCTTTCGAAAAAATCTATAACCTGATCTAAAATTGAAATTGGCAGCAGTGACAGTGATGGTTTAGTTACCGTAAAGCGATGTTGCCATGTTTTTAATGGCTCAATAAAACGTGATTATAGGTTTTGTTGTACATAATTGTAAGGTGTCGAATAAATCTTGTCTTGACTAAAACAGACTCTTTTCAAGTTGGAGCTATTAAATCTGAGAGGCCCAAAGGCCGATAAAGTAGCTTATAGTAAACCCCCACATAGATCACTCTGTTATTTATGAGAAGAGAACTATAATGTAAGGCTTTTTATTGCCTCTTTTGACTATAATGAAATTATGTGATTTAATCTGAAATATTCTGGCGATAAACGTGAACCCTATAAAATGCACATGTTTTAATGAATTTCATTTCACAACATCATAATTTGCGTAACTTGCGATTGGGAGATTAAATTTATACGAAGCAACATGTTTTTGTCACATATCAAATGGAAAAATTAAGAAAATGTTGTTTGTTTGTGGCTATCGTTATATTGCGTGGGAAGCAAAAACTTGAAGAGATTTATAACGAACGAAAGAATATATTCCCGTTTCCGGCAACTATAAAAAGCTTCCACAAACAGCGTTCAATCTCGATTTTGGTACACCCCTCAATTGCCATAAATACAAGCAGTGCCATTAAAAAAAAACTCTTGCTCCAGAGATTGAAGAATATTTTTTTTTAATATTGAGTCTTCTGACAAATTAAATTTTGACAAGAAAAATACAATTTTACTTAACCACCGCAATTTTAATCAAATCTAATTCTGTTTCGGATTTTTTTAAATAACATTTTTTAGTTTTTTGTTCACTTTCTTTTCATCATTTTGACAAATGTTTGTCTTGAATTTTATTAAGTCTTCTTCAACTGTTACAAATGTTCATTTCGTAATCTATTAGGCATAGAAGTATTGATTTTTATCTTCTTTTTTTAACTTTTTATTTAACGTAATTTTTTTTTTGTTAGCAAAATAGAGACCTCATCTTGGCTAAAGTTAAAAACTGACAGAATTTATGACTTGGTAACAACTATTTTTCTCAAACATAAGTATTAATAAAATGCAGGGTGTTCGGTCCAACTGCTGACAACACCTAAACTTACTTCTTTTTTTCAAAAAGTAAATATTTAAGTAATAATATTCATTCTTGGCTTTCTTAATAAATGTATCAATTTTTTTTAGCACATCCGATGTTGCCGGAAATACTACCACATTTAGTTTTTCAAATGGAACCTTATGGTTTTTTCCACCAAACAATAATAATTGACATAAAAAATACTGCAATCCACTATTTATTACATTTTGCGTAACACAATGCAATCAAGAAACATCTTAGCTCTTAAAATTTTATAAGGAAATTGGTCGCGTAGCCTGATTTTTAATTTTAAAGGAAAGGTGTGAATGAAAAAATGCTTGGATACAGTTTAATTGTTGGTTTGACAAATCTAATTTGTCAGTTGATGAGCTAGTTCTCTTATGGAAACTCTTGGATTTTCTTCGACTAATAACAGAACATTCAGATTTCTATTTTCTTGTTCTTCACAAAGAACCATAGGTTTTTTAGTTTTAAGAAGCGAGCCTATTCGTCTCAGTTGTTTTTCAATTCGACTAAATTTCCAACGATTTGGGTAAACTCTATTTGAGTTTTTTTTTTCTCTATACTGTCTTTCAACTTCCGCTCTATTTTTTTGCACTTAAAAAACGCTTCAAGCTGATCTACCAATTCGTCGTAATTAATTTCATCCATTATTAAAGATCTCAATAAGATTTATTGACAAATTAGGCTTTGTCAAACTAAAAATTTAAACGGTATCCAAGCATAGTGCTTTTTGCATGAATTCCTTGGCAAGTAAAATCCGCCTACGTTGAAAAATTTGCTATTAAATTCAAAAATTTAAATTGTTTTCTGAGTGTATTATGTAAAGTAAAATGTAATAAATAGTGGTTTACCGTAGTTTTCATGCCAATTATTATTGTTTCGAGCAAAAAAACATAGATGTTCCATTTGAAAAACTAAATTTGGTAGCATTTCCCATTACACCGGATATGCCAAAAAAATTGATGCATTTACTAAAAAAACGAGAAATGAATAGTATTATTTGAAAAATTGGTTTTTAAAACACCCTGTATATTAATAAAAATTAGTAAATTAGTGAGAAAAAGGTTGCTTATATTTGCTCGCCTTGTTTTCCGGGTCGAATTCCGGGTGTCTGCGACCTCAGCTGACGTGTGGCATTTGGTCCAGGTCCGGATTAGCATCGAAAAGTGCAAATCATGACACTATCGTTGTCGTTCCGTCCCTTGCAATTACAAGAATTCTCGCGATAGGTGCAGTGTTTGCAGCGTGAACGTACATATGCCTGTGAAGAAATGAGATTGACGGCTGACGTTACTGGTCCAGATTTGAACCGGAGGAGGAGGAATGGCAACGACCGACGAAGAACTTTCGAGCGATGAACGGCCACGCCGTTGTGTTTTATCGCGGTCCCAGAGTCTTCCTCATCTGTCCCACCACGATTCGGGGCTCGGGAGCTACTATGGGGTTTGTCGCAAACACGGCTTCGAGAGGGACCGATTTTTGACCAAATTCGAAAAATAATCACACTGAGCTTTCTTTCGCCAAACAATTTTCCCGATTGCTGGAGACACTCCAGACTTGTTTTTCACCGTTTTATTTAATAACGCCATTTTAAGACAATCGCTCAATTTCCAACAGAATCGATGGGAAAATTCGCGAGCAAATAAATGAGACATTCAATTAAAACTTTGGCGAAATTTATTAATCACAAAGACGGGAATAGAAACACTTGCTTCTATTGCAAACACAAAGAAACCTCTCAGTTTCGCGAAAAGATAAGGTAAAGTTTCCACAAAACACAAATTTAATATTTTATTAAAATTGAAACAAAATTAGACAAAAATCTCGTAAATCATCGAAAATCGGCTTTTCCGTCTGTTTCCGTCCCTCTCGAAACTTGTGGAAAAGTCAAAGTTTTCCTCGTTGACTTTTCCGTCGCCGTGTAGGGCTCGGGAGTGGACGACGCCCCCGCGAGTCGCGCGGCCCGTCTCGTCGCCGACCTCCGCCAACTGCTGACCCTCAAGCAGCACTACTACCCCGAAGGCGGTTGGGGATGGGTAGTGCTGGTGGCGGCGGTGCTAGTCCACGTGCTCAGTCACGGTTTAATCACGTCGGCGGGACTCTTCTACGTCGAGATTTTGAGGAAGTTTGGTCCGGCTGTTGCACAACCCACAGGTACAAAGGGCCACGAAAAAGGGTGAAATGATGCGGGGAGCGGCTGAATCATTGAGGGTTTGTTGCAGGATGGCTGGGGGCGATGTCGACGGGAGTGGCGTTGCTTATTTCGCCAGTGACGATTGCCTTCTGTCGGAGGAAGTCGACAAGGGTCACCGCTGTCATGGGGGGGCTCATCACGGCGCTGGGGTGCTTGTTCACGTCGTTTGCCACGCAGTTCCATCAGCTTTTCTTCAGGTGAGAATAAATGAACATTGTCACATTTTATCAGGTTAATGTTCCAGAAAGAGTATAAAAAGAGGTTTTAATATTTTTAATAGAGCAATTTTTTATTTTAATGAGATTCTGAGTTTTATTTTTCTTTTATTTTAACGATAAATAGGATGCTTGTTCCGGATCTGTGGGGGTGGATAATTTATCAACACAAAAATAGAGTCGACTCTGAATTATGATAAATAGCAAACTTTCCCCTAGGGAATAAAACTGGTGGAGGCGCAGGGATAATAAGTAACACAATACATTCTACTGTGATTTCAATAAATATTTAAAACAAAAAAATTAAACATAAATTGGGTAAACATACTAAAAATCTTCAAAAATAGGGTGGTGCAGTCTTATGTTTTTTTGCTTATATCCTCAAAAGAGTGTGTACCGAAAAAAAAAGTTTACGTACAAAATTTTTTAAAGATAATTTTTGTATCTCAAAAAACTATTAATGAATTAAAAAATTGTAAGCATTATGATTGGGCAACATTAAGGTCAGACATAAAACCAATCAGTTTAGATTTTTGGATGCGGATGTATTTTTATTTCTGTTGCAACTTTTATTTTTTATAATCTTATAATTAACACATTTTCTCATAAAATTAGATTAGTTATTATTTTTTGAAAGTTAATAATGTTAATGCGAACATCAAACATATAATTTTAATTTTATCTTTCACTTGATGATGACGTCATTTGTACCAAAATGAACCAATTTTTTTGTTGGTAAAACACTTTCAAATGCAAAACCATCAATGGATATTTTTAGTTTAAGAATGAAGTTTACTCTTTAATTTTCGTTTAGTTACGGCACTGTGGTGGGCATCGGTGTGGGCATAACCCGCGACTGTTCGACTCTGATGGTGGCCCAATATTTCAAGAGACGTCGTGAATTCGTCGAAATCTTCATCGTCTCGGGCAGCGGCTTGGGAATCGCCACAATGTCCGTCATCATCCGAAGCACAATAGGGTGAGCAATAATCTCTCCCCAACGACACCATCAAAAATTATCTCTATCGATTCATCCGCACAGAAAACAATGGAGTGATAAAGTTTATTATAAAGTTTGTTGCTTCATTCCGCCGGATGACGATTAGATTTATCATTTCCAATTTATTACTTCAGGTTTCAAATTACATCACAAACTTTCGAAAAGTTTTAATTTTTACAATTTTTACGATTGGATCGGACCCGATTGAGGCTTTAAAGCTTCCAGCGGTCGTAAATATTTTAATAGTCGATGTTTAAAAAGCACTCTATAATTTATCTAGCCGCCGGATTAAAAAAGGAAGCGATTTAATCACGCGAGTGATTTCTTCAGATCGGTTTCATTCTTCGAAGAGATTTCATCGCAGTTATGGTGAATAGCCCGTAATTAAATAATAATCGGTGATGTCGGGCTTTATAAGGATGCGAGAGGTTGACATTTCCAACGGACACTGATGGATGGCTCACCATCCTACCGAAGAACATAATGGGAAGGCGTTTATGGCAGAAATCTCGCCGCGACTTAATCCATTCCCATTCATTTACTCGAAATAGAGCTATTGACTCGTAACACTGAGTTTTTAATGTTGCATTTTGTGAACAGGGCCCTCGGCTGGCGTCTCGGTCTGCAAGTGGTGACGGGCGCCATTTCCGTCACCTTCATCCTCGGCACGTTTTACCGTTCCGCCTCCCTGTACCACCCCCAACGGCGCGCTATCCTCCACATCAAGAACCAAAAGCGAAAAATCAAAGACAAGAACAAGATAGAGGACAAGATTCCTTTTTTCGATTTTAGCACTCTCAAGAGTAAAACTGTCCGAATTCTGCTGATATCGACCGGAATCAGCGCCTTCGGCATCAACACGCCTCTTTTCTACTTGGCGTACCAAGCGGAAGTCGAAGGTCTCGGCGATTCGACCGTTTTCCTCCAGATGTATTTGGGACTGGCTTGGACGGTGGGATGCGTCGTTTTCAGCACTTTAGTCCTCCATAATTCGACCGAATGTCGAATTGCCAGACAATATCTGTGCCAAACAGCCGTCTTCATGTGCGGGCTGTCCATCCTGGCATTCACAGTGGTCAGCGGGAACTACCACGCCTACGTCATGTTCGCCTGGATTTATGGTATGAATAAAAGTTGGATCAATTGATTTTTAAAATTTTTGTAGGGATCTTCTGTGGTGGGTACCACTACTCGCTCAAGATGTACACGTATGAGAGAGTCCGGGCCCGGAATTTTGCCCGGACTTGGGGCTTCGTCCAGTGCTCACAAGCCATACCCATCGTCATCGGTGTCCCATTTTCCGGTAATTTATTTTTCGAGACTTTCAGATTTTTTTGAAAAAACATTTATTCCAGGGTATATGAACGAAAAATGTGGTGACCGCGCCGGCTACTACTTCAGCTCCACGTGCGTGATTGTGGGTAGCCTCACGCTCTTCCTCATCGACCTCCACCGACGCAAAATCTCTCGCCACAAGCACACCCGCGAAAACGGCACGCGCCACCTGTGCGTGTCCGAGACGTGCCCCCAGAGACGCAAACTGTCCTTCTCGCAGGAGCCGGAGAACGACGCCGGGGTGACAGCCGGCGCAGCGGCGGCGGCGTTAGTTTTGGGGGCGGATTTGGCCCCCAACCAACCGGCGGGGCTCATCGACAACATCATTGTCTCGAACGACAAGCCGGAATTGACCTGTATTTCCGAAGAGGGAATCGCCGACATGGATCTTCCCGATAATCTCTTAGACGACTTAGATTACATAGGAGACTGTATCACTTCGTGTAATAAAGTAGAAAATTATTTAATGCTTAGTGAATTTGAGAATAATTTAATTGCGGAAATGCCTGTGATATTGGACAGGAAAGGCAGGCGATGGTCGCTGGCCAGGTCCAAACTTGCGCAAAACGAAGAAGGGGACGAGGAGAACGGCGTTGGGGTGAATAACTCCAAGTGGAAAGTATTTCCCAATCGTGTTATTACTGTCATTGATGAGTCGTCCGTTTAGAATTTAATTGTTCGTTCATTACTGCCAATAGTTGTATAAAGACTACCTCATAGATAAACGGCTAATTCAGAAGTGGAGTACAATAAGAACTCGGTGTCACGTATGTAGTGGAAACGCTGTGTTACTATTATTTTGTAGTTATTTATAATAAACAATATATTCAACACGAGTTTTATTCCTACCATTTTCCACTTTATGCCAGGTTATAATAAAAGAAGAAGTTTTTTACTTTTACAAAAATTTATTCTAAAACAATCTGTAAGTAGATATCAATCTGTTTTACTCCTAAACTTCAGACACTTTCAGAGAAATATAAAATTCATTTTTAATTTCAATAAATTGAGATATAAAATAAAAGTTTAGTGGCGCTTTTTGAATACGTACCAAGTGTTACTTTTCACACTTACGTATTTTTTTAATAGTAAATCATAACGTTTAAAAATTTTTAAATTAATTAATAATTTGATTATTAAAATGGTGAAATTCAATTTATACATAAGTCACATTATGAACCGCACGTTTCCATACAAAAATAATACAATTTTCGTTTTTATTTAGGTTTAAAAACGTTTATTTATAAATGAAAATTGTAACTTCCGTGATGTAAACCTTATTTTTTTGTCAAATAACATTGCACAATCTAGCTATGAGATCACGATAAATTAAAATATAGCTGTTGTATACTGAGAGAGCAAAAACTCCACTGGGACTAAAACAAATTTGGTACAATGTGTTCAGTTTGTACTTTGTCGTTACAACTGGTAAAATATGGCATAAAATCGCTAAACTCACACCAATAAAATTAAAATTACTAAACCTACGATAACTTACTTCTAAACGTAAAAGATATTCTCATTTTCTCGATTCCCAATCAGATTTTTATGCAAAACGATTCTTGAGCAAAAAAGTAAAACTTTACTTTGCATAAAAATAACATGTAAATATTACACATACTATCTGATTGGTTGAAGTCCAAAAATGGTCGTGTTCAGATTATAAAATATTTACTGATAAATATCTGAACATCATGATTTGCGGTGTGTTGTGTTAAAGGTATGTACATAAAAATTCAGGCATTTTAACAGTAATTTTTAAAGCTAGTAGATTTTCGGCACTAGTACGTATTTAACTTTACTGCAATATCTGTCCCATGCAGCCCCATATTTCTGTTTACATCTAACATTATCTCTAACAGAACGATGAATTAAAAATAAAATAATAGAAATTGAAGTCACAACTGGTGGTACGAGGGTAGCGAAAGGAATAAAAGACATATTCATTAAAATATCCCCTAAGTAATTCGGATGACGGACGATGCCCCAAAATCCGGAACAAATAAGTTTCTTGCCTTTAGTAGTCGGAATTGTTTCCAAATCTGTTACAAACATACAAATTTGTACTGTTTTTTCCTTATTATACCATAACTTACGTGAGAGTGCAGGATCGTAGGGATTCTTTCTAAAAGCGTCCTTCTGATTATTACCTCCTCTAAACAAAATATATCCAACGATAAAAATTAGATTGATCCAAGTAAGTTTCCAGACTGGTAACGTGACGTCATAATCAACAACGTATTTCGTAACAGAAGCCATCATTATAGGATATATTAAATAACCAACGCCTGACATAAACCCAAATCCTTCATACTGAATTTCAAACGATGATACAAAAGCAGTTTCATGTGCCAAAGCATCCAAATAATATACTAAATGAATTAGTACAAGAATAACCAAAGTTGGGTTGATTGATAACGATTTCAAATCCATTGTTTTAAACGATTCAGTGGTGTTTAGACCTAAGGAATTGTAAAGAAGTGCCAGATCTAGCAGTACCTACAATTGCTTCTTGATTAATGTTGTTTTCTAAGAAAATAAATACTTACAGATCCAATTAAAGCCAGCCTAAAGACGTACATTTTCAGATCGAGAAGTCCAAACGCTTGTGGATTCAATTCCCTCCCCATAAAAAAGCCATAAATTTTATTCCTCCCAACAACGTGAGCATTTAAAGCATTAAACGGAACATAGAAACTTCGTACAAAAGCATAAAACGTCAAAATAAATCCGAATAAAATCGACGCAATTGTCAAATGGAATAAATGTTTGATTATAAACTCACAAATCGGTATTTTCTTCAACTCTAACCCAATTCCGAGCATTATAAGTACAAAACACGAAAAAAGACCATTCATTATATAATGAAATTTCCCCTGTTTTGTCGCCAACCCGGTAATCTGTTTACCCCCAAAAGGAATAACTGATAAAATTGCCAAAAAAATCGCATAACCGAAAAAACCCAAAATCGAAGTCAGATCAAACCATGTATTTAAAATCGAATATTTTTTCAGATCAGGTAATTGAGTGAACGAGCACTGGTTTTCGTTACACGCCGCCAATAACCAAATGATCGTCAAAGGAGTGACAAATATGTAAAAGAGCGCCCCCCAAACGCCCCCAAATTCGGTTATTTGTCGAAATTCTTGCCCCCTTTCAACCGAGACCGATTTCCTGACCATCAAACTATCGTCCTCATCTGAAAACTCGCCCATTTTCTTCGCCACACTATCAAAATGTTTCAAATGAACGACTCTCTCAACTTCGCGATTTTGCGAATTTCTCGTCACGCGTTTGATAAGATTGAAAGGGCTAGACCTTGAGTCAGCATTAACATTTAACTGAAAAAAAACATCAAGTTGCGTTTTAAAAATCGTGGGCTTTACCTTCTCAACTTGGACCTCCAACCGTCTTGCGCGCCCCCTAACGGCCGCTTGGGGCTTTTCGTGCGAGTGGGGTACGTCCCCGTCGGGGTTATCAGAGTCTGTGTCTATATCAACCCGTGTCCGGCGCGGCCGAGACACCCTCTCTGAGAAATAAGTCTCTGCGCTTTTTGTAATGGTTGTTTTGACAGCCCTCGTGGGGGACTTCCGACTTGGGCTTCTCCTGATAGGGCTACGTGCCTTTGGAGAGGGCACTTTGGGAGTGGAAGCCTGAAGCGGCGGCGAGTCCCTTTTAGTCCTGGCAGGGTTTTTACGAGCCGGGCTTTTACTCTTGGCGCGTGCCGGGCTTTTCGTCCGGGCCGGACTTCTGGAGGGGTTTTTCCGGGAAGGACTTTTGGGCCTGGGAGGGCTTTTTGGCCGCCTAGAATCCTCGGAAGCTTCCGTAGGAAGAGGCGGTTGACCTTTCAAGGCCCCTTTAGATTTCAATACCATCGTGAAAGCTGGACAAAGCAAAAGGAGGTTAGGTCGCCGCGCGCCAAAAAAAATTTTACCAGGATATTTATAAAATATTAGGAAGTGGTTTTACCTTAAATTGCGACGGTGTTGTTGAAGTATTTTTAAAATATTTCGAAAAATATTATTGTGTTTACAAGACGCCGTGACCAGACAGACGCTTACTTGATCACAAAAACAACGCGTTCGAAATGAGACGATTTCATTGGTCAGTTTGGAAGTTAGTCAAAATAAGAGTTAGAAAAAAGGATGAAAGTTTATTCTAAAAATTCTACAAGGCTAAAAACATACTTAAAATAAATTCGAGACGGTTTAACTTAAAATAGAATTTTAAAAAGTTACATAACAAATTTAAAATTACAGCAAACTTCAGGAATTTGGGGCAGCGTTGCCAAATTGAAATTGTTTTGGTTCCATTTACGCAAGGTTTTAATTACTCTTATCACTTTTGACTGCAATTAGAAGTCACGTAATTGTTATCGGCAACAGTTTACACTGTAATTACCCATATTACTAATCTAATAAAACAAATCCGTTACAAAGAGTAACGGTCAAGCTTGACAACGTTGAGCGAGAACCTGCCAAAAGTTGAAAAAATGGCGGCCATATTCAGGTAAAAATATCAAAAAGCATAAAAATTAACCAACAAATCTTGTTCAGTACTAATTTATTGAACTTCAAGTAGTGTGAGAAATAAAATTGATTTATTACATATGGTTAGACGCAACTGGATTATTACGTAACATTTTAGGTTAGGTAATCGTCAAATTCTCAATCAACTTAGAAATGAAAAACTTGGAATGTTGTCACTGGTTCGTCCCGTGACCCTCAAGGCCCAACCGGCCACTAAAGAAGAGGATATAGGTAATGACGAACGTAACATGAAATTAGGGCGCCCACAATCGCCCCATTTGACAATTTACGCCCCACAGTTGACTAGCATGTTGTCAATTACACACAGAGCGACAGGTATTCAAGTTTACCCAACAAGTGTTTAAATTTAAACGTGGATTTTTAGGTATGATGCTTGCCGGATATGCCATTATGTGGGGAACAGGAGCGGTCATTCTTCCCGACACAATTCCACATTATTTGGATGCATTACAACAGGCGCATGTGGGGGGCTTTGTCTTGTCAATAGGAAAGTTTATGCTGGCATTCCCGATGTGTTACCACTTCTGGAACGGAATTAGGCATTTGGCTTGGGATATGGGACGTTTTCTCACAATGAAGGAAGTGTACGCCACTGGATATGCCATGTTGGGGTTGACTTTCGCCTCTGCAATTGCCCTCACGTCTATGTAAATTAAATTGTGTATTTTTTTAATTTATTTCTTCAACTAGTTACAAAAATCTGTTTTCTAAACTTTTTTGTTCTGATTTAAGTTGAAAAGTTATGTTCTAAGTTGTAAATTAATTCTAATTTTACAATTAGTAACAAAAAGTATGTATGCCGTTTTGGAATTAGTTCTGGATATTGTATTTTGGCAATGAAACAAATTGTTAACGTCAATAAACATATTTTTTGTTTAAGTGTTTGTTTTTCTTATTTTTTACTTCTTCAATCTTCTGTTTTTGATAATGATTAAGGAAAATAATTACATCGTTTAAAAAAGATCAAGAAACTACAAAGAATAAAAAAATGAGCAAACTTCAAGTTTGACAACATTTAATTAGCAATTTGCAAAGTTGGAAAATGTCTGTAATATTCAGGTAAAGCTTTCAAAAAATAGGAAATAATTATAAAAATACTACACTTTATTGTGTACCGTTTTAGATTAGTTAATCGGCAAATTCCTCTTCAATTCACAAATAAAAATCTTGGATTGTTGTCACTGGTCCGTCCAGTGACTCTGAAGCCCCAACCTGCCCCCAAAGAGGAAGATTTGGGCCATGACGCACGCAACATGAAACTGGGGCGTCCACAATCGCCACATTTGACAATTTATGCTCCACAAATGACTAGCATGTTGTCAATTTCGCACAGAGCGACAGGTATTTCAATTAATCCGGAAACTCATAAACCAATAAACAAATTATTCCCAGGCATGATTCTTGCTTTTTATACCATTATGCTGGGAACGGCGGCAGTTGTAGTCCCTGACCCAATTTCATGTTATTTGGACGCTTTGGAGGAGTACCATGTGGGGGGTGTTGTTTTATCAGCAAGTAAATTTATCCTGGCATTCCCCATGTGTTATCATTACTGGAATGGAATCCGACACTTGGCTTGGGATTTTGGCCTTTTCCTCACACTAAAAGAAGTATATGCCACTGGATTTGCAATGTTGGGGCTGGCTTTCAGCTCTGCGGTTGCTCTTGCTGTTATGTAAAATAAATATTAAATTGATTCAAAATTTAGCGCGACACTGCTAGTGCTGCGCCCTACGTTTGACATTTAATTACAGTTTCCTGTTCAGGGAAAACATTTTTTGCATTATTTTCATGACGCACTGTCAAAAATGTGAATAGAATATAAATAACATTTCCTTTTTATTTTAAACGTGTACTAATTTCCCCACGATTGTGATACTCCAAGTAAGTGTCCAATTTTACTAATTTTCGTACAATGGAATTTCGTTTTTGACACCATACACTTTCAACCCCCCTAAATCGTTTCAGGTTGCCTCCAAAATGCCGTTCAGACTCAAGTTAAAGAAATCAAGACATTACAGTGTGGCTTCAAAGTCACTTTTTGTCATATCAGTCGAAATGTTAGATGCGACAAATGTGGAATGCACACTATCGTCAGAAAGTACAGGACAGGATTGTTTGGATGTTGTTTGCCAGAAATTGGGGCTCAATCAACCAAAATTTTTTGGGCTTCAGTACGTAAGCAGGAATTCGGAAAATACGTTCTATTGGGTCGAATTGGATAGGCCTATCAAGAGACAACTTGACAAGTATGCAGGGAATTTGTATGTTTATCTCAGAGTCATGTATTATATAATTTCGGGAGTACGGCTTTTGAATGATGAAGTTACAAGGTTTGTATTGTTGCACAATGTCTAAAAATACTTGACCGATTTTTTTGTACAGATATCATTATTTCCTTCAACTGAAAATGGATGTCATTGAGGGTCGCATTTCCTGTACCCCTCAACAAGCTGTAGAATTGGCGAGTTATTCTATGCAAGCAGAGTTTGGTAATTTTGATTCAGAAAGACACACTGCGCTCTATTTGAAAGACTTCCAGTTATTTCCCAAGGTGATTTTTGTCTTGCATTACAAGAGTTAAAATTAATTCCAAAATTTAGAGTTTCACAGATCCTGGCCTTTTGGAATCCCTCACAGATGCGGCCATAAGACAACACGCCGCTCTTCATAATCTTTCCCAAGGGACGGCGGAAGAATATTACATTTGCGCTTGTCAACAACTGGAAGGTTATGGTCAAGAAATTTACGCCGTCAAAGACCGTTTAGGGGATGACGCCATAATCAGCGTGTCTTTAACGGAGGTCTCCGTGGGGTACGCCGGGGAAAGGGAAGGGAGACGCTACGGGTAATTAGTCACCCGAAGGTGTTTGAAACCCTCTCATACATTTTGTTTCCAGTTGGACCGATATTAAAAACGTAATAAACCAAAAACGTGACTTTACGATTGAAACCACCGATTGCGAAAAAGTCGAATTTCAATTTGCCGATGTCGAAAGTGCAAAAAATGCGTGGCGTTTTTGCGTTTTGCAACATACTTTTTATAGACAGTATGAAATGAATACTGATCAGAATGATAAAGGACCCCCCGCGCCGCCAGTTTTTCATCAGGCTTTGATTGAGGTATGTTTTTGTGTCAATTGTATTATTTTTTATATGATACGATTATGAAATGGATGGCTTATCGTTGAGTAAATTGTGAGTAATGGCAATAAAATGTGGAAACGGCAGGTGTAAGCGGAAATGATTAGGTGGCCTTGAAATGACTGATAACATTTTTCTCATTTTCCGAATGAGCACATAAGGACAAGGGAAAAAGTTTCTATAACATGAAAGAAGAATTTTTTAAACGGAAAAAAAGCATGCAAGAAAATGTGGAGACGGAAACGGGCATAAATTCACCTCTTAAAATTTTTACACATCTTTTAAAATCATCCTGTATATGTTTCAACTAATGTATTCAACACAAAAACAATACAAATTTTTACGTAAATTTATTGGGAAATAGCCAAAACAATTAAAAAAAGCGGACTATAAAACCGGTCAAATTAAAAGATAAAAAGAAAGATATCAATAATTGTTTATTTAGGGTAAAATATGAGAATCCATAGACTCCTCTATATTTTTCAAAAGTGCAATTTTGGCGCTTTATTTTTAGTTAAATGCTTGCAGGTTATTTTTCATGCAACACTAAGGTTTTTGTCTTTTTTTACTGCCTTAATTGTTCACAGAAGTTATCAGAAAAACTTTGTAATACTTTTTAACCATATTTTGTGTTATGATATTCTCGGAGAAAGTCTTTTCTGTACTTTGTTTCATAAATCAATCAATTTAAATCTTCTCACATGTTAATTCGAGCACTATTAAAAAATTCAATTGTTTGTAAAAATGTGTACCGTGTGAAATTTCCTACACTCGTTTTTTCTCCCAGGAAAAGCTGCGTCAAATGGATAGTTACGAAGACATAACCGACCCGTCTCACCACTGGGACCGTTCCGTTTCGACACAAAGTCTCAAACAACGCGCCCAATCGACCTCGTGTCTCGATCTGAACAAATCCACAAACATTGATCATTTACGAAGCCTCCTGCCATCATACCGTCCAGCCCCCGATTACGAAACCGCCATACAAAACAAGTACAGAAATTCATCCGGTGCCATTCCACCCCCTCGGGAACCCCTCCGCAACACCCACTCGATTTTATACAGTTCTCAACCGGAAATCCACCAAGCGGAAACCTACTCGTCCCATTTGCGATACCCCGACGTCACACATAACAACATCGAATCGAAAAATTTGATGACGCCGATGTACAACACCGGTTTTACCCAATCCCAAATCCTCTCGAATGAGAGTAATTTTACGGAAAATGTCGGATTGTTACATTTATATAAACCGCCGCCTCCATATCCTAGCAATAGGATTAGTTCGAATTCGACTCCGGATTTGGCAGGGATGTCACTTCAAGCTAAGCCCACTGCTCATTTCATCAATACTGTAGTTAGTGGTTCGAGTCCGGACTTAGTTTCCGGTGGCAATATCTATTTGAAGCATTATGGTCAAGCTTTGTATCCCGTTCATAGGTCACAGAGTTACTTGCCACCCCAACATGGCACTTATGAAAACTTATCGTCCATTTTTAATAATAATATGTTAGGGCGCCCCCAGGCTGTCATTGTCGAAAATCCGAATATAACCAAACATATCAAGAAAGTCTACGACGAACACGGGAATATAATTTATTGCATGCCTGCTAACATGAAGCAGATTCTACAAGAAAATCGTTTGCCCACATCTGGGTTCGTGGTCACTCGTAACCAAAATACCATGGTTGCCCACGACCCCACCGAACCCATCTATGAGAACATCCCATTACCATGGCAGAACGAGTCCGGTGAAATGCGAGGGCGGACCCAAAGTATACACTCGGCTCCGGAAATTGTAAACCATACAGTAGTCAACGCTCTGCAATCGCAATTTCAACAAGTGAGCATTGGAAGTAAAGAAACTCTCTACGCCAATATTCATCGGAATAATTCGAGTGTCAAGTCGTCGAAAACCGATTTAAATACGGAAAATGTGGGGGAGTTGAGCGATTCGCCAGTTACGACAAGTTCAAATAATACGTTTATAGTTAATAAACATCCGATGAATTCGACGACGAGTAGCTCAGGTTTGTTTAGTGACAGTGGAACGAACGAGTCGTTTGGCACGAGTTCGACGTCGAATAGTTCAGGGAAGAAGAAGAAGAGGTGGGGGATTTTGATCGGGAGGAGTAAGTCGAGTGAGAAGGTGAAGAGTGCGACATTGGGGAGGGAGAAGGAAAAGAAGGAGAAGAATTTGGGGGGGAATAAGCATCGCTGGTCGACGGGGTTGCCCAGGTTTAATCCCTTACCGCCGTCGATCAGCAAGGAGACGATGGTTTGTATTATTTACAGTGTGTTTTTTTTTTTTTCATATAGTTGCTAACGTTGATCAGAAATCATTAGTGTAAAATTCGTTGCAGTGCCAACTCCTCGAGAGCAAATTGGCTGACAGTCAGCTGTTTTTCGAATTTGATAAAATACCGAAAAAGAAGCAAAACGCGGATTTCACGACGGCCTGTCACCGCGAAAACGCCCAATTCAACCGTTTCAAAGACGTCCTTCCGTACGAAGACAACAGATTACGCCTCACACCAACCAAAAATAACAAATTTGGTTACATAAACGCCTCTCACATCACGGTAAGCCCACGAATCAAGTCGTATTTTGTACGAATTTGATTTAATCTCAGGCGACAGTCGGCAGCAAACAGAGATTTTATATTGCCGCCCAAGGACCGAATCGTGTCACTTTACCGTATTTTTGGCAATGCGTGTGGGAAGCAGAGGTTTATCTCATTGTCCAATTGACGGACAGCACTGAAGACTTGCACTACATGCCCGACGATGGGAAGAGGTGTATCGATATTGGTCAAGTATGTAACGCAGCGAGATTATCAACCGCCGATTGACAAACGAGTTTTAGGAGTATCAAGTCTGGTGGCAATTCTCGCAACATTCGGGCAATTGTGTCACGAGTAAAGTGCGACTATGTCACGTGACGTCTCGTAGATACCGCACTTTGTGGCACATGCACTACACGGATTGGGGGGATCAGGGGTGTCCCCATTCAGTGCCCCATTTTTTGGGTTTTCTTGAGGAAATGCAGTCGGTGTATCAGCACTCAATGGGTGAAATACCACCCGGGCATAATAAGAATCCCCCAATTTTGGTGCACTGTACTGCCGGCGTGGGCAGGACCGGACTGACAATTTTAAGTGATCTTTTATTGTACACAGTTGATCATAATCAGGTGAGTTGACTTTTGGCTACGTCCCAGGTTTATTTTTTCTACTTTTAGGAGGTTTGTATACCAAGGGTCGTCGAGTTGTTGAGACATCAAAGAGCCTACATGATACAAACGGTTCCCCAATATAGGTTTGTTTATTCGCTGTTAATACATTATTTGAAACAAACGCGTCTTATTTAGCACTTTGTGTTTTTGCTGTGTTCATTGTTTGTAGTGATTAAGTTGCAATTAATATCCCAAAAAAATCTAATCATGACCCTTGATTTGTTATAGAATTATAGAATTCGTGTTTTAACTCAAATAGTATTTATTGAAGTCTGATTATTTGTAATATTTACCATTTTAGATTTTTTTATTGATGTAATTCAATCGATTTAAAGAATACGTATTGTATAATCTCACTTGCTTTTCTCCAATTATCAAATTATAATAATGGCTGTGTATATAATTAAATATTTTAACATTTTTTGCGAGCAATAAACATATTTATTGTGACTGTCAACAGTGCCTTAAGCGTATGTAAATTTTGTTATGTATATACAATTTTAAAATAAAATAATTAACAAAAGTTTTTTTCCTCAAAAATGTCTCCCCTACATCCCAGTAGATGTAATTTTAACACTGGTTACGATATAGTGTTAGTTTTTTTTGCGATAGTTCCAATAGTTTCGCCACAATCGTTTTTTAAAAATGAAAACTGCAACACGTTTTTCTAATAATTCGTAATTTTTTAGGAACTCGACCCACTAACGCGTTTTATGCACTTTTTTGAGTCTCTAGAACTTCTTTACTGTTCTGTGCTTAACATTCCTTACGGCCGCTTAACATTGTTTCTGTAGGTATCCAAAATTTACGGTTTGAAATTCATACCATAAGAATATCATTTAACGTGAAATTTGTCAATTTTTTCGCATTATTGGTTGATTTAGTAGGAGGGCAAGCACCTGTGCGAGGGCACACGATTTTTAAACTGATATTTATGTACTCGTAAAATTTTCTACTAAATTCGAATTGTTTTTTTTTATCAAAATGTCTCAATGTAGATTACAACGCTTTTATCAAGATTTAGTTTTGATAATAGAGAATTGAGAAAATTACTGTTTTCTTGTAACGTGATACACTTGTGTAAGATGCGAGAAACCCTATGCGCGACGAGCCTTATTTTTTATTTATATTCTTACAATTAAAATAGTTTGTCGCCAAATAAATACTTTTATTTAAATAATATTTTATTATAATAAATCCACAACAATTCGTATAGTCTAGCAGTACTATTTAATATTGTTTGTAAGTTTTTGTGCACATAATAGTATTCTGAGCGCATCGGGGTTTCAAATATAACCTCTAAACATTTTTTTCTCAAAAATATTTCAATTTGGTTCAAGAACGAGACCTGAAAATGACTGAAACACTCACAGTGACTTTTTCGGGCCCCGCATTTTCATTTCTTCTCCGTGACAATACAAAAAGTGAATATTGTCAAGTAAGTTTGCATTACAAAGCCTTTTCAAATTTATAAAAATCGACTTTCAGGTGGGGTTTTTATTGGGTGAAATTATAGAAAAGGAAACAAAAACAATAACAGACAACGACTTGAGACAAGTTCACATTTCGAGAGAAATCCGTTTCAATGGGTCCATTCCATGGCCCGATCCTTGCTACTTTCATAACCAAGCTGGTAAAGTGAACGCGGAAAAAATCAAAAACTTCCTCGGTGACTTAACCCCACGTGTGTTGGCGTGGTACAAATACAAACATGCCTCGGGCTTTGATTTCACATTTCGCGACCGTATTTTGCATAAACAGTTCATTACTCTATTCAATGTGCCCCCAGAGTTCTTCACGTGTTGTCTGTTGATAAAAGACAGCTCTGAGAATAAGTCGACGCATTCGTGGAGACAGACTTTTGTGCGGTATTGTAATTATGACTTGGGACATTTGCGTTTCCGCATTGAAAACTTGAGTGATCCCAATAACACCTACAAGAGTCCTAGACCCTTATCTCACATTGTCGTGAAGATTATTAATGAGGTGAAAAGTAAAGGGGAGGACACTCAAGGCAATAGTATGATATCTAGGATTCAAAATGCCGTACAAAAACATACATCAAGTCTCATTGATCATTTAGCAGAAGCTGAAAAGCGAGTATTTGAATTGGAGAAAGAATATAAGAGGCTGAAAGCAGAGAAAAACAGAAAATTGGACGCAGACGACAAAGTTAAGGAGTCAAATGGATGTGGGAATATAGACTCTGAACCAACTAACACCGTTAATAAAACGAAAGAAATACAGAAGAGCCCAATTTTTGGGAATGCTGAACAAAATGCTACGTCTAGTCCTTCACCAAAAGGTGCAAGAGGTAGAGGTGGAAAAAGGGGTACCGGGTCCTCGCAGAAGGGCTGCCATGAAATGGTAACTAGACATAAAAAAAACTAAAACTAATTTTGTTACGTAAGTATTTTTCTGAATAAAGTTGTTACGTTTTTTTAAATAACAATTAAGTTGTTTGTGACAAAAAAAATGGAATAAAACACCCAGTAAATAAAAAAAAAATATTTCCCTTAATTTACAAAACACTGAAAGCCCTAAAACTAGTATGGTCTCGGGGGATGTTGCCCTGGGGGTGGTGTTAACTGATAAAACGGCCCAGCCGGTGGCCCCATTGGCGGAAAAGGGGGCGGATGTGTAACATAGGGCGGAAAGACAGCCGGTGGGGCACTCAAGTGTGGCGGTGGCCCCGGGGGAGGCGCTGCTAAATGTGGAGGTCCTGGTGGTGCCGGCAGCGGCGCAGCATACGGTGGTGCTGGATACGGGGCTACCGGAGGCGGCGCCCCTGTAAATGTCTGATAAGGATACTGAGGGACGTCGGGGGGCGGTGGAATTTTCGTATTAATGGGAGGTATCATTTCGGGAATTTCGGGTTTCTCCTGGCCATTTGTCGACTTGCGGCTGGCCGAAGTGGGTCTTGGAGGCAGTGGGGGGCTGTCCGGGGCGGGACTAGTGCTCGGTTGGGAGTATAAGTCGAGAACTTGGTGACAAATATCTTCGAGGAGGTCCATGGTAATGTCTTCGACGAACATGTCCCACCAGCGCAGGTGTTTAGCAGTGCGCCCCACCCAGTCGACCACCTCGAATTGACTGAGTTTACCAGCGAGGTACATGAGGGCCACTGCGATTATTTCGGGCTCCCATTGCAGGGCTAGGGTTGTGCAAAGACTGTCGTTGACAAAAGTCCAAGCCATTTGGACCATTTTTTGGAGTTTGTTTTTGTCGCCTTTGAGGCATTTGGCGTATTTTAGTAAATAACTGTAAGGGTGCTCCACTTGCAAGTCGAATTTGATTGTTTGTAACAAAATTCGTTCCAAAGTCATTACCTAAAATACAAAATACAGGAAAGAAACACAAGTTGCAAACTTTTTACTTCTTCTTTCGGGTCGTCGCCGAATGTTGCAAACTTCTGATCCGATAACAACCCTCGAGCGGTTTTTATAATGTCTTTACACTTTTTTGGTGTTTCTTCAACTTTTCCAGCCAAAAACAAGCAACAACAAGCTGTTACATACCGGGGAAATTGACGGAAAGAATGAAACATGTAGAAACGGTGAAAATACACAACCCCAGTCGCTGTTGTGTTGTAACCGAGGTCCATTTTGGCCCCAGTATTAATAATAAATCGGGCCCCTTAAAAAACCGTCAGATTTTATCGAACTACTACTTTACAAAAACAAACCTTCCTTGCGGTATCGCATTTCGGTTTCGTAATCAATACCATCTTGGGCAGAGGGTGTATTTCGCAATTCTTTTTTATCGTAGTACCACCCCGTCATTATAGACCAGACAAGGGGGCTGCGCCACTTCACATCAAGTAAATCCACAAAAAAATATTTTAAAAAAACTTACCATAAACTGTTTAATTACTTATACAGCAATAAGAATATTTAAAACACAATTGCAAGTGCTTGTAGTCGTACTGAAAGCCACAATTCTTGCATCAAAACTTCGATAATCAAAACTAACCTCAAAATGCAAGATGTCAAGTAGTCACAAGTAGTTCCCAATGATAGTAAGCCTACTTGAACTTTGTGAGAATATTCACCAGATCGAAAACACCGCGCTACTGAATTCGACAACCGATTTTTGTAATTGTCCACAAAATTTTGTAAAAACTTAACAATAAATAATGGAAAGAAATAAAACATTTATTGTATGTCTATTGCACTTTCAAATACGTACAAAACTTAAAAAATGGTGACAAAATTTTGATACTTATAATAAATCAATTGGGTGAGATTTAATTCCTTTCAATTCCCAAATGGTCGCAGCCAGCCGTCTTGTATGTTCCAAAACACAGGAAGCTGTCACAAGCCTTAAATGAACACAAAACAATTCGTAACATCGTATTTTAGCTGACGCTGTTTTCGGAAAACAAATTTCTTTCAATTTCCTGAAAATTTACCATTAAATCTCGGTTTTTTCTTTTTTTATTATTATTGTTATTACTGATAAAAATCGTTGCCCAACAATCCCGGTAGTGGTAAGGCTTTGGACGAATTTGTAGGATACACCAGGGGTTTCATTGGCGTTCCGCTGGTATCCTCAAACCACAAAAAATAGGAGTAATTGAAAACTGTGTCTTTCCACATGAGCGACAAATTTCCTTCTTGTAAGTGATTTCTTGAAAATTTGATCATCGCCCAAATCTTAAAAAAATATTCAACTTAGTTTAACAACAATGAGATTTTACTTTATTCTTGGTCAGTTTAATTGTTTCATCTGCGCTGAAATCAAGCGTGGGGGCTGTGACTCTGTGATTCACACGGTCCACGTAGAGAAAATGTACCAATCCGGGGAATTCCTCTAAATACTTATTAATCGTTAGGGAATCTCTAGTGCAATGTGATTAAGGACTATTTCATGAAAAACACAATTATGACACTTGTTATAAAAAGGATATGATCCAAGAGTAAAATTCCTGATCGATTTAACCTTGAGAAACTCATTATAGCTATTCAATTTCTCAGCGACAATTTTCGCAACTTCGATCGTTGCCTTCTGACTCGATTCAACAATTTTTTCATCAATCGATGTCAAACCGAGTAACTGTTTCAAATTCTCCAATAGTCCCAACGCCATCGTTTCGGCCCGTAAGAGTGCCTCATCAGACTTGCTTTTGATAAAATCAAGATACTTTTTCCTGATAATATCCCATTTTTTCGCAAGTTGTTTACCCAAATTTTCAATGGAATTATTTTTGCTTTTCTTGAGTGCATCGTTCAGTCGCTTCATTGCCAATTCAAGATTTTCAAACGCGGGTCTTAGTGTGTCCACGTCCTTTTGTATCTGAATAAATTGCATGGTGTGCAAGTGGTGGAAAGCGTCATACAGCGTTGAGGAGATTGCAACGTTACCAACTTCGAGCAAATACAATAAATTTATGCCTTCGGAAATCGGAATAACATGAACAACGTGTGAGAGACAGGAAGGAGTTGCGTCAGAACCCGCCAACAAAATTTGGAAGCTGTCAATTCGAGTTTCGCGATTTTGTTCAAAAATTTCGCTACTGCCTTGCGAGACAATCGTCGAGAATAAAATATCTGCAGCGGATAAGTCTTTGGCACTTTGACTAGAATATAAAGAAAGGAACTTGTTGTTTACTAAGACCATTGCATGCATTTTGGGACAGTCTACAGCTGAGATTAACTTTTCAACAGATTTGCGCAACACCTGAAGCGTCACAGAACTGACATCGGAATTTATAACCAACTGTTCCACCGCTTCAACAAACACTGCCTGGTCACTGTTTTGCAATTTAACCCAACTATCAATTAATCTCGTCGCAATATCGGCCCTTCTTTCACACATCTTCAATCTAAATGTAAAGTCGTCAATAATTAAAAATTACAAACCAAAAAACACTCACTGACACACATCAGGGCCACATAAATACCTGACTATTGTCACACAAACACTGAGATATTTTTTAATACTTTGCACGTCATCCTGAGCTACGCTCACAAATAAATATCCCATATACTAAAAACGCAAACTTTATTAACCACAATTAACCCCAGAATACCTACTTCATCAAAACAAATATTAATTCCATCCTCACACTGAATAGATGTGTAAGAATTACCAAACTGGCAACTCATAATCCGTTGGGAGGTAATAATGGGAGAAAAAATTTGCACAAGAGCATCATCGTCAATAATGCGTTCATTACCGCCCTAGAATTGTAAATTAAGAACTAAGTAATTGAGTGATAAGTGTTACGAACCCCAGCATTATTTACAAAGCCCTGGAGCGACGCAAATTCATAAATGTGTTCTGAAAATTTTTCATCCCATTTTGTATACACCACATCGTTTAGATGATCAAATATTAACAAACACTGCATTTTAGTCAACAATCAAACATTGGAAATGCTAAAATTGAGATAAAATAAAAATTTGTGACGGTGACATTTAAACTGTCAATTAAGCGCCTGAAGTTGACGCAACCCACAATATGGTGATGTATATTGAGTTGTCAACAACAATAATTATGTAACACTCTAAATTGAAATAAATAAATATTTATTTCACTAAAAAATACAAATTTAAAAGTAAACTTGGTGTTTGTTTATTAATATACAAAAAAAATATCCAAATGCCTTTCAGCGTTGGAAAGATTGCTGAAACATAGCTAAATAAATAATAAATTAAATCTCCAAAATCTTCTTATTTGCTCTTGTGATTAAGATTAAAATTCCTGAACTTTTCGCACTTTGTCGCAAATTACTCGTTAGCGCTCTTAAATCACAAAAGTCAATTTACCGAACAGGAAAATGTATAAAATGTTGGAGAATCGCTCGAAGGATGCAATTACTCCTTTCCTTGGCGCTGCGCATGAAAAATCTCGACTTTACAACCCAGCAATAGTAAACTTTAGTGCGATAATGAATGGCTTTATAAACAGCGAAAGAAAATCCGTTCGTTATTTTAAGATCGAAATTTATTTTTGACACAACTTACATCGACTTTGTGTTAGACGACGGACGCGCTAGATAGTGAAGGTGAACCATAAACGACCCCAAAAATCTAAATACTGATAATTTTTAAAGAACTCTTATGGTTTATTATCGAAGACATAAAACGTGCGTGTTTAGTCGAACCAATGGCAGCGGAAAAAGTTGATCCAGTGGTGAGTTTTCGCAAATTTTATCTTCAGTCTAATGAGCTCACAACAAAGATTTTTTATCAAATTTTTATCGTCTTAAAAATACTTATTTAGCGTGCAAGCCATAATTATATGATAATGACGAAATTTTATTATGTAAGAGAGATGATAGATGGGATTACATGATACTTGCCCAGGTAAAAATAAATATTTACGTACACAAATATTTAAGGAACTAATTGGATGATCTTTTTGTCTGCAAAAATTACGTATCATTATTTGTTATGACATTTGTAATTATCGTAATTAATTTATTTATAAAAAATTTGACAAGCGCCACATCTTCAAAATGATCAATCATTGTAAACATAAATTAATTCGTGAATCTGCTTTATTTCGAGTTAAAAATCAAACAGAACTAAAGGCTAGTGCGCGGTTAGATAATTGGATGACATCACAATTCTACGTATTTCACATTTTCTTTCACGGTCATGCAATAATTACAATTTTATTACAACATATAATAAATGTGATTAAAATAATCCAAGTGGCTAAATTAATAACACAACTTGAAGTGTTTACCCGGATTATCCTTAAATGAAAACTTGCTCAAAAAAACAATACACTCATCTCATTCATTCATTAAATATGTGCCCCCATATATTTACCTTGTTTTATTAATTTACTATTGAATTTTATCAAGTCATCAAGTGATAAAACTTCAGTTTTAGTAACACAAACACAATCCTGCTCAAATTGCGTATATAAAATGATAAACAAACAATTATTATTATCTATTATATACACCAATCACGTGTCTCATTAGCCAAAACTTTTAAGTACAACGTGATTCATTTTTTTCACAGCTCAAAGACAGATGCAAAGAACTCGACCTCGACCTTGACACCCTCAAAGAAATCTCTCGACGATTCCTGAACGATGTCCACAAGGGCCTCCGCAAAGACACCCATCCCACAGCCATTGTCAAATGTTTCGTAACTTATGTCCAGGACTTACCCAATGGCACCGAAAAAGGAAAATTCTTAGCTCTAGATTTAGGCGGGACAAACTTCCGCGTCCTTTTGATCGAATTAAGTAAAGACCATTTCGAAATGAGATCAAAAATTTACGCCATTCCTCAGCATATCATGTTGGGCTCTGGGGAGCACCTTTTCGATCATATTGCCGATTGCCTCGCTTCGTTCATGAAACAAGAGCAAGTCATGGCCGAGTTGTTGCCTTTGGGCTTCACTTTCAGTTTTCCCCTGACGCAAAAAGGCCTAACTAAGGGGATTCTAGAACGGTGGACGAAAGGATTCAACTGCTCGAATTGTGTAGGAAACGATGTTGTACAACTGCTCAAAGATGCTATAGCGAGACGGGGGGTAAGTTTCTTTAAACTTGAAACCAACTAGATTGCTTTTTAGTGATCATTAGTGATAAAAATGTAGAATATTTCAGATTGCTAAGCCTGGATTTGGCCATTTGGCGTTATAGTTGGTGAGTCTGGATTTTCGACTTGAAATCTGCCTAAAACTCACAAATAATAACGCTTAAAAGGGGTTTTAGTTGGACCGCAACTATAGCGCCTCGAATTATTAATTATTAGCTAAACAACTAATAAAACAAGTGTCATATTCCGAAGTTAGACAACCAATAATACAACTGCAATCTTAAATGCAGTAAAAATTATTGGCTACTGTGTTATTTGTTTTGTTGTGTGATTCCCAGACATTTGAAAAAATCAATTAAGCAGTTTTGAACTTCCTTTAGGACATCCAGATTAAAGTCTGTGCCATCCTGAACGACACCACCGGCACCCTCATGTCTTGCGCGTGGAAAAACCCCAATTGCCGCATCGGCCTAATAGTCGGTACGTGAATTTCCCGCATTTCCACACAAACCCCTGTATTTTCCTCTGCAGGAACGGGCAGTAACGCCTGTTACGTGGAAGAGCAAAAAAATGCCGAATTATTCGACGACGTGAACAATGGTTCCGGAAAGGTCGTAATCAACCTCGAATGGGGCGCTTTTGGTGACGACGGAGCTCTCGATTTCATCCGAACCGACTACGATCGTGATGTCGATGCAAATTCGGTCAATCCCGGGAAACAACTGCACGAGAAAATGATTTCGGGGATGTACATAGGGGAGTTGACTCGATTGGCTTTAGAGAAATTCACAAAAGAAGGGTTGCTTTTTGAGGGGAAAGCCTCGGATGCCTTGTTCACACGAGGGAAATTTTATACCAAATACGTGTCAGAGATTGAGGATGCCCCTCCAGGGGAAATAACAAGTTGCAGGGAAATTTTAGAGGAGATGGGGATTTATCATGCCACGGATCAGGATTGTATCAATGTGAGATATGTGTGTGAATGCGTGTCGAAAAGAGCTGCAGATTTGGCGTCGACAGGGATTGCCACTTTGTTGAATAAAATGAACGAATCGAAGGTCACAGTGGCCATTGATGGTAGTGTCTACAGGTACCATCCACATTTCCATGACCTTATGATGAAAACTATTTCGGCTTTGGTCAACCCGGGAATTACGGTGAGTGAGAATTTTTGCAAAAATTTTAACCATTTGTGATTTGCAGTTCGATTTGATGCTGTCGGAGGATGGAAGTGGACGTGGGGCCGCTTTGGTCGCCGCTGTAGCTTGTCGAACACAACAAAAAGAATAGAAAATTAGATTTCTCGGGAATTACATTCGAGACGATTCTGTAGCCAAATATACATAAATCTATTTTTGTTAAAGTCGAATAAAGATTAATTTATTTGTTTTGGGGCAATCATTTGAACCTTAGCCTGTCATTCCCCCCAAAAAATAAGACATTTAACATTTAGCGTAAATGCCAATTGGGCAAAAATTGACACCAGGTACAGTTGGAGACAAAATACTTTGGTCGTTAATGTCGCTTGAGTGATACTAAATTGTAAAGCATGCTTTAGGACTGTTAACCATATTTTTAGCCACTGTCAATCATAGTTGACATAGTTGTATGTACATATTTTTGATAGGAAAATATAATAGCCGTCGAAATTGTCATTCATTTTAACGTTAAAGCTTGAATTACATTGCGGTGTCAGAAAAGTGACGACCAAAATATTTTGTCTCCAACTGTACTTGATATATATTTTTTTAAGTATTAAAGGGTTATTTTAAACATACTTTCCCATTTCCCATTCATTCTGTCATTTTGTGCCAGGTGTATCAAAATCAAATTTTTACGATAAAATAAAAAAATCTTACTTATACGAAAAAACAAAAAATTTGATAAATCATGAAAAAAATTTCAATAATTTTCCAACTAATTCCAGGCATTTGGCAATATATGGGCCACCTGTAAAAATATTTAAAGTAGGTACAGAAAGCTAAATTCAGTAATTTGTTGATCAACATATCAGTCAACGGAAAATTTAAAATAATAATAATTTTCTAAAATAAGTTTTAAAAGCAAAACCCCAGTGGTGTTTTTGTAATTAAAAGTTTGTTGTTGTTTCAAAAAATTGAAGTAACCGTTTAAAATTCAGACGTAACAAACCATCAAACAATTTCTTCGATTTTTATATGACCGAATAAAATTCAATCAAAACTTAATTGGATGTTACGTCCTTTTAAGTAACCAGTCTTGCAAGTTGGAATATCTTCAGGCTGTAGGTTTTCTTACTACACAATATTCATGATCATTATCAATGAAGAGTGGAGGGGTATTGAGGAATTAAAAATAAAGAGACTATTAACATACATACTTTTTCAATTGCGTGTCAGTATTCAAAGTGTTCGTGTTTGAAAATTGCAAAATGCGACTAAAGCAAATTATTGAAAGTGTTAACGACCTGGGGAGGCTTCAGGTGGACCAAATTGGGCTCAATACCGACTCCGACAATGAAATTTCAAACGAGGTAATTTCTATTTTTCAACAAAAATCTTTGCCCTTGTGAGACTTCAACAAAATCCATCATTACGTTTTAAACGTGTTCAATTAGTCATATGACGTGGTAAAGTAATTATTTAATTCCGCTCATTTAGCTTTATTACTAACTGTTATTTATTAAAAACTAGCGCTGACCAGTTTTTGTCACTCATCTAGATATCTAAAACAATTTTAAAAAATTGTCATTTTTATTAGTGTCAAAATTTTCGTACAAAATGCATCCCAAACAACACCCCAGTCAGAAAAGAACCTGCATGTGCAGACCCCTTCCTATTCCACGCACCGAATGCCCAGACCCTCAAGTAAGACCTCTTATTTAAATTGGTGCAAATTTTATTTCGGATTAAATGCGTCGAAAACCTTGAGTATTCAAGTTCATCGTTAGTTCACGTGTGTTCTAGTTTACGTCCATTTCCGGATTCCGGTTACCTTGATGGACAATTTTACCCAATAACAATATTTTACAATCGGAAAACTGCCAACCTTCGTGGCCAACACACATTTGGTTCCCCAATTTGACACGAAAAATCTCGAAAAAAAATACAAATATTTACGTCAAACCTCAATCAAAAAATAAATTTCAATCAATTCAATCAATAACACTATCTTCTTCCTCAATTGGATATAGTTTTCAGCATTAAAAAAGAAGAAAAGATGATAACTGCGTTGTAAGAGCAAAAAACACGATTAGAGAAAAAATACTTCAATTGAAAAGAAACAACTTTGGTAAACGTATGTCGTGGTAAAAGTAAACACGCTTAGGCGTAAAAATAGAATTTTTACTCCATAGCTAAAAGGTAAAACTTTTAATTGTGACATTTAGTAGACGTTCGCGAATAAAAGATTTAGTTTAGCTTCATTTTTCTTATTATTTCTCCATTTTTAATTGTACTTTTTGTATTGATAATTATTGTAATCTACACCTACAACTAGCAATTGTTCAAGGAGTTAATTATTTAATTTCAATATTATTTTTGTGAGTTTACACAATATTTGACGGATTTTGCAAAAAAAAAATATAAAATTTTATATTTTTATAAATCGCGTACGTTTATAGAAATAAATTTGTTTCATTAAAATAGTCATTTCCTTTAAAGTTTCTATGGATTCAGAGAAACCCTTGAATTGAGAAAAATTCCTATAATTAAATAAAACTGAACCAAAGTTGGCTAATTTAAAACAAATTTAGTTCCGTAATATTAATTTAATGAAATAAACAGTTATGTTGCATTATTGGAACAAGTTTTAATTGTTATCAAAAACTGCTTTCACTTTCTGATTCTAAAATAACGACCTTAGAGCAATAAGTGGATTATCAAGTCACATTTTTATGTAAATTAAAAAGAAATTAGCATCTACTGCCAACGTTCTAACTGGTATCTGTTGACGCCAAATTCCTTTTTTTTTTCTTTGCATTCCTTGCATTTTCTGTAAACAATTCCAACTCCCCAAGCTCTGAAACTAATTAAAATCATCCACCGGACTTATTCCGTCTGATTCAGTCTCTACTGCAACTTGTTTTCCGGTCGGTGTATTTCCGGATCATCCTAAACGTGATCGATCTAACGTTTTCAAGGGCAGACGAGCCCCCAAAACGTTCTAGAACATTATTCGCGCACCCTTGTGGCGTTCACTTTCCCGTGACGTCAGACACGAATCGATCGTTTTGGGGGTGTGGTGGGAAGAGTACCACTGAAGGTGACCTCAACTTGCCCCAAAACGAAGCTGACTTTCGCGTACGTAACCTCGACGAGTGTGTGACCAAGTGGGATGAAGATGGTGCAAGCGACGTTCGAAACGTGCGACTACGTGACGCCTGAAGTAAGTCCAGACGAAATAAAAAAAAATGGAAATTTCGGTTGGAATTTAAATGAATTGAAAACCTGAATGAGAGACGTGTTATTGACATTATTTTTTGTTTTGTTTTGCAAAAATCGTTTTTTTTTTCGTGACGTTGGTGTATTTGTGCGAATTTTCATACAATTGTGATTATTTGCTTATCATGCTTATGCAATAATTTTTTCACCTTGAATAATATATACCGCAAAATTTCTGATTTATATTCCCTGAACTTGACGTCCGAAAGTCTGCGCATGCTCAGAGACACACCTACCAAATTCAACCTTTTATGAATACCACAACCGTGCTGTAATATTAATGGTTTTTGCATCATCTCAGACATTTATGTTTGTACTAAAGGCCAAACGGGTTGCGTACTTGAATTCAAGAAGAAAACAATGAGAAATAAAATTAATATTAATTGCATTAGTTGGTTTTAAAACAATTTTTCATTTCATTGTGACAAATATGGAAAATATGGATAGGGTTTTAGAAAACATAACAAAATAATTGCATGTCCCATGGTGAACAAACATTAAAATATAAATTTTCATCAGAAAAACTTTAAAAGTAATGATTATTTCGGGTCATTCGTGACTCGAAAAACAAGGATTGACCCACTTTGACGACCAATCGACCAGCGGAAATTCCCATTCGAATTAAATTCCTAAGAATAGGGTGTCAAATATTAAAGATTAGCTACATGATAAAGACTGTAATCTTTGAATTGATCTTTATTACTTTATTTATTGTACATTGAATATTGGACAAGTCGTTCTTAGATTAATTTTACAATATCGCGCTTATCTTTGGATTAGACTATTGTTTTTCCACATTTTCAACAAATTCTTAGAAATACAACTGTGAAAGCGAAATTTCCGAGAGAATTATTTTTTAATCAAATTTATGTATCAAAAATCGTAGATAAACAAGTACAAATAAAATGAAAAATACCTAAACAACATAATTTTTCTGATAAATACCTTTATAATGTCATTAATCCTAGCAATTATGAGATTATACCAAGTCATATATCACGTCATCAGTTTATAAGCCGAACCTTATCAGAAATTTTCTTAGTAAGTGAATGAAACTTGAAACGTGAAAAACTTAAAAAAATGGTTGTACAAGTTAACCAGATTGTAAGTAAAAAATTCACAAATTACATACTCAATGATTCATTTAAAAGCATTGTTAGATAATAATCAAAATAATCACACAAATCAAAAAGTGATTAAAGTTGACTATAAAACTCGCTGCATCATGTCTTGAACATTACGGAGCAAGAGCAGGAATTTCTAACCATAATTGGTATTTTCATACTGCGTGCGGAAAATGACTCATTACATCATAGCAAGTGATGCTTGTATGCACTTAAATTATTAAAACACTCTTTTGAGTGCTTTAATGTATTGAGATACATGCAAGGTAATGTTTTTTATCCTTAGTCACAGTTTTGTGTTTGTTGTCAACCTTCTAGTACTTACTAAAATGAGTTATTAAAACACTCGTTTCGGTGCTTAAATTAGTATTGGGTTTCCCCGTTGCGTAAAGTGCAGCTTTCGGCCCGACGCAAGAACTACAACTTTAGATAAGAATCGTGTCTGGATTTTATTTAAACGAATTGGAGTGTTTATTCAATTGTCGGAGTGAAAGCACGTCATTTTTGTCTGGGTTGTGAAACCTTTTCCTTGCAGCCGATTGTCTAACATTTCCTCAGCTTGCGTGACGATTCACAGGCAAGCAACCTCAACTACCACACCCCTGGCTTCGACCAATCGCATTCTCCCGACGTGGAGGCTCGTTCTAGGTACCATGAACCAGTGTGTGGGAGAGAGATCGTAAAACTTATCGTACTTTATATATTCGTGAGTGTTCGGGTCGCAACACACGTTTCAAGGCGCGATTGTTACTTTCATATCGTGTTATCGGCGTTATCGATAGTGGGTTTTTCAGTTGTCCAAGTCGGATTTTACGATTTTTCAAGTGAGAAAATGGGTTTTAGAAGAAATTCACAATCGCAAGCACAAGCGGTGGTATGTATAGGTTTTCTCAAGTGATGTCGGTTGGTTGGTGGACGCTCGTTGGTCGAAATTGAGGGTGTGTGTCCACCAACCGATTCATTAATAAACCGAGCACAAGGCATAGTGACTTATATTATAATTTTTAAATTATTGAGAATTTTGCATTGCGTTTTTCCGATATGTAAATGTCGTATAAGTCGATTTATTAGCGTGGAATCGGCTTTCCGGTTTTAAGGTCGGTGTTTTCTGAAGAAGGTCGAACAAGAAATATATTTTGAAATTAATTAAAAGTCATTGAATAAGAGAGAAAGGTCGATTTGTTTTATCGAAATTTAAAATTATTATAACCAGACGATTCAAGATTGCAAAGATAAGACAGCACAATGTGTTTCGCCTAGATTGTTAATTTCGAAAGAAGCGATAAACAGATAAACTATTGTAAGAATAACATTTGTAAAATCCAAGTATACAAAAAGTTGTTCTGAAGGAGATGAACGTATTTTTTTAATCAAAAACTTTCACCGTGTATTGATTTTTCTGAGGATTCCGATGCATGATTTAGTTTTATCAATAATTAGTTACTTAGTGTTGGATTCAATTTTCTGTTATTTTTTAAAAACCCATTTTGAAAGTAATCATTCGTTCACATTATTTGACACACTGTAATAATTTTAAATGAAAAATAATGTGTAAAAACAGTAAATATGATATTTTATTAGTTGTTCTCAGCTCCATATACCGATTTTTCGAATTTTTTTAGTAGGAGAATGAGTTTTTCCAACAAAATTATTTTATTTCCTAACTAATGGTTTACTCTAAATACGAAAAATATATAAGGTGTCCAGAAAAAGGTTCCTATGTCCGAAAATGCTTCCTGAAAGAGTTAGCGTTCTCTGAAGACGGCGGGCAAAAAGCTTTTTTCAATTATCTCACTACCGGTGGACATAAATTTACAAAAGTTTGCATCTGAGTATTGGTGATATCAAAAATTGTTACCCCCTTAGGGGGGAGTAAAAACGTAAAATTTTGTTTTGGAAGAAATTTTTTGAAATTTGTTTTAACAGATTCAACACCTTGTATATTGTCTATTTTCTAAGAAGACACTATATTTCAAGGTATTTGTACTTTTCAAGAGGATAATTAAAAGCATTTTGCACGTCTACCGTTTTTAAGTTTCTCACTTTAGTAGTTATTGACACCACTAATATTTTAAAACACTAGTTATTATCTGATAAATGCTGGAACAACTCTTTTTTGCGCCTGTTCGGCAGAAATATTAATAGAAAAGCGACTTAATAATTTTATTTTATTTATTCAATGTCTTAGTTTTTACTATAATCGTTCTTATGAATAATAATATTAAAAAAAATTAATATATTTTGACTGGACCATTTTCAACTGTGTTTTTTTAATTTTTATTCATAAGAAAAATTATAGTAAAAACTAAGACATTGAATAAATAAAAAAATATATAAGCAAAATTCTAGATTGCCACTACTACGGCTGAATGACAAAATAAAATTTGGCACTTTTCAATTTTATTAAAAAAAACACGAAATACCAGAATTATTGAGCAATAAGGTCTTACAGTGTTTTTCTTTTGGTTTTCCTCTTTTGTCAAATGTATTTTAATATTACTCAAAACTATTTCATTTGATATATTAATGTCAAAGCGACGTAGGTGGGAAATAGTTTTGAGAAATAGTGAAATACATTTGACAAAACAGGAAAACAAAAAGAAAAACACTCTATATCAAACAGTCTGTATATGCAAACAGAAATTCATTTACCTAACATATTTTTTTAATATAATAATTTGTGATTTTTACAGATCCGAGAAAAATGTCAAGAACTGGTTCTCAATAACGCTCAACTCGAAGAATACAAGAAAAAATTATTAAACGATTTGAAAAAAGGTCTCGCAAAAGCGACCCATCCAACATCCATTGTAAAATGTTTTATCACCTACGTTCAAGATCTCCCTGATGGATCAGGTAAATATTAGTTACCTAACACAAGGAACTACAGTGCGGCATCAAATTAATTATCTATGTTAAAATATTCGTTAGGCTATGTATGTACATTCTACCTCCCGTAGCTACACCTTCGATTATTAGTAAACAAAGCCAATGACCTTTAGTCGAGTTCACACTTGAATGAGAATTGCATTTTTCAGAAACGGGCAAATTCCTGGCGTTGGATCTTGGTGGTACGAATTTCCGTGTCCTTTTGATCGAATTGAGTAAAAATCATTTCGAAATGCGATCGAAAATTTTCGCAATTCCTCAACACATCATGTTGGGTTCCGGTGAACAACTTTTCGACCACATCGCCGACTGTTTGGCGAAATTCGCCAAAGATGAGAAAATCCAAAACGAGGTTTTACCGCTGGGTTTTACGTTTAGTTTCCCCTTGATGCAGAAAGGACTAACCAAGGGTATTTTGGAACGTTGGACTAAAGGTTTCAATTGTTCGAACGTCATCGGAAACGACGTCGTCCAAATGCTGAAAGATGCCATCGACAGACGCGGGGTGAGTACTTAAAAATGAGAAAACAAATAATTGGAGACAGTGCATGCATCTCAGTCAGTAATATCACCCCTCGGTATTGAATTTCAGGATATTACTATTTCGATAATGGCGATTTTAAATGACTCGACAGGGACTTTAATGTCTTGCGCTTGGAAAAATCGGTACTGTCGGGTTGGTATTATAATCGGTGAGTTTCACACCAATCGGATGCACCAATGCAGATGCATGCATACATGATTGCACTTGTCACTTGATTTATCCTCATGCATGCTTTATCCCTTTATAGGATATTCAAATTGAGGTTTGTGCCATTTTAAACGATACCACCGGAACACTCATGTCATGTGCATGGAAAAATCGTTATTGCAAGATCGGCTTAATCATCGGTAGGTCATAGTTTTGCTTGGTTACGCACTCGCCTTCGCCTCGTACTGTACCCGTATCAATGATTCGATTTTTTAGGTACCGGCACCAACGCGTGCTACGTTGAAGACCAGAAAAACGCAGAAATGTTCGACGAACCCGATCGTGGTTCCGGCAAAGTCCTAATTAACTGCGAATGGGGCGCTTTCGGCGACGACGGAGCCTTGGATTTCGTACGAACTCAGTATGATCGTGAGGTCGACGAACATACAGTGAATCCCGGAAAACAATTGTGAGTATTACATTGTCAATTATTTTTGAAATCACAATTTTTTTCCGGTTAGGCACGAAAAGATGATTTCCGGCATGTACATGGGAGAGTTGGTAAGACTGGCCCTCGAGCGGTTCACAAACGAAGGTTTGCTGTTTGGGGGTAAAGGCTCCGATCAGCTGTTCACCCGCGACCGATTTTACACGAAATACGTTTCCGAAATCGAGAGTGATCCCCCAGGAACTTTCACACACTGCAAAGAGATTCTAGAGGAGTTGGGTTTGAAACATGCGACTGAACAAGACTGTATTCACGTCAGGTATGTCTGCGAATGCATTTCGCGAAGAGCTGCACATTTAGCGTCGGCTGGAATCGCCACTCTTTTGAATAAAATGAAAGAACCGAGGGTTACGGTCGGAATCGATGGGTCTTTGTATAGGTTCCACCCGCATTTCCACAATTTGATGATGGAGAAGATTTCAGAGTTGGTCGATCCTGGGATTGTGGTATGTCACAACACGGAAAAATTGACAAAAGTTCATGTTTTTTTTTTTCAGTTTGATTTGATGTTGTCTGAAGATGGGAGCGGACGTGGGGCTGCGTTAGTAGCAGCCGTAGCTTCGCGTAAACGGTGAAGTTAGCTAGTGGTTATTTTTGTAAATATTAGGGTATGTCTCATACCAAACCCTAATCGATTTAGAATTGGTATTAGATAACACAAGTAGCTCCTAACTCTATTTTTTGTTAAATTTTATCAAAATAAAAGTTATTTATTTGTTGTATGTACTTTTTGTTTTACGAAAACTTTTATTGTAAAATATTGTAACGTAATTGTTTTTATTGGCTTGCCATCTATACAAATAAATTGTATTTTTTATATATGTATGTAAAATAAGTGATAAATTAGCCGCGCTTTAATTTTAGAAACGACTGAAATGTTGCAGTTTAGGTACTTAAATCGTAGAACCTTTTTTTTAATGGGTTTAGCTGTAAACAAATTAATAAAAGAGATTGAAAGCAATAGTGTGTTTTATTAATGGAATCTTTTATTACAATGCATTTTTAATTGCAACAATGCCATAACATCGAGGTGACACAACAGGATCAAAAAATTGAACCAGAAAACAATGCTCAATACCTTGCTCTTGCAAAAACAAAAGCCGATCAAGCAAAATCAAACTTTCAATAACCGGCGATAACTTACACCGTAACAAATAAAAAATATTCAACTCGTTGAGTCGACTCTCATAATGTGAAAAAATTGACTCAATTTCGTTATCAGTCACGTTAATAGTGACCTCAATTCGTTTTAAAGCAAGTCGAACATACTCTTTGAAATGCACTGGTAATTTCCGAAATTTCCCAACGTGTTTTGTGGGCAACTCTGTACAAAACGTCTCAAGAATAACTTGCAAAATCGCGCGATAAAAAATCGTAATATTTGGCAACTCCCCCTCTTGTAAAACCCTCTCAACTGATTGATTTGCGATCATTCGGGCACTTCGTCCAAGCACAAACTTCCTATCTCTTAAAGACTGACTGAGGGGAAACCCCGACTCTTCACATTCCTCGTTCAATAAATGGTAACAACAGCCCACGTTACAAACCGACTTGATTGCCTCATTTTTACTAAAAATCTTCAAGGAGTTGGCTGCCAAGTCGCCACACGTGTGGAGCCCCACAAGCCCCAAATGAGACACATTGGGAAAAATATCCTTCACTAGCCCCAACAAGTCGAACTTTTCGTCTACGAACTGTGTTACTTGTTTGTAAAGTTCGACATTGGGGCTACTGAAATTCTCGCTTTTTTTAGGGAGCGATTTATGTGGCGCCATGGGGATGCCGTTCCATACTTTAGAAAGTTTGGTAGCGCGTTTGATAGCCCCACAAGTGTTAGTGTTAGATGCGTCGATTCCCACGACGGGGATGTGGTGTTGGAGGGCTAACATCGAGCTTAAATAGCCCTTGCCATCGCCCAGATCCACCACATGAGACGCTTCTGAAGCCCTGAACAGGGCTGCAGCCACAGCACTTAGTATTTCAACCTCGTGCGATTTTTTCGCATTCATGAAAATTTCTAGTTTGAATTTGTCTAAAGTATCACAACCCCACGATTGGAGTTTTTCGGTGAAAGAGTCTAAATTGAGACAAACTTGGCAATTCTTTAAAGTGAATTTCGTGCTATTTTCGACAAACTGTTTTAAATGGGGGGTCGAGTCAAACTCGTTTTGGAAAATTCGAATAATTGTGTTTTCCTCACCTATTTGTTCAATTTCTTTTTGAATATCTAAAGGGATGAAATTTCTGTAAGAATTCTGTGTATAAAAATCAACCATATGACAGTTGGCGAAACCCAACAATGGTTCTAGAAATGTCAAAAGACTTTCAATTGTTTGCCTAACAAGCAATGAAGACATGATTAAAACGAAAGTTTGTCTGACTCGGGAAAGGGGGGTTGTATTTTCAAAACTGCGCAGATTTTTTTAAATTTCGCTCGAATTTTGCCCATTAACTCCAATATATCAACATTTGGATCATTTTCTCTAGGAAAAGAATCCAACATGTCCCTTAAAGTCTCAAGTTCTTTTACAATTTTGTCGTCACCTGATTTATCTCCTTGATGAAAAGTTAAATAACTTGAGGCTATACTCGTGTAGTAACCGATTTCGGCGCCTAATTCAGCCCCACGGTGATAACCCAAGTGAAAAGCTTCAATATTTTCCTCCTGCTTCCCTAATTCATAACCTTCATTGTAACTGTTCTCAAAAATGCGGTCTTCGCTTAATAGAATGTCAGAAAAGGCGTCGTTAATGTCTTTTTCTGACTCATCTGCGTGTGGAAATGTAAATTTTAGTAGTTTTTCCAGTGGAAGGTGAAGAACTAACCTGTCATGATCTTGCATAATGCTTAGAAAACATAAAACTTGCAAAATATGTGTAGTAATAATAACATTAATTGCAGATTAATCAAAAATAACGGTAACTGCTTTAATCTTTTCATCAAAAATGTGCACCCCAAAAGAGGTTATAATTTTGAAACTTTTGAACTAGCATGTGTTGGCAATACTATGGTACTATAATACAATGCGCCTAAAATCCTTCAAACAAAATTAATGGCTCAACAAATTATGCTAGATAACACACATTATCTAACAATAATTAAAAAAATTGTTTTTAAAGTAAAATGCTTAATGATTAATTTTCAATACTCGTAAAAATATACAAAAAAATATAAGACTATATGCGCATAGGATACCAAACATCTTTCTGAGATTAAATCCAAATTTAAATATTTTACTTTAAATAGAGTCCTTCATTACTTAAATTAAAATAAAATTCTTTTAAATGTGTCAAAGTCCACATTATCATTAAACAACCAAAGTATGTCAATACCATTGTGTTATACAATAAAATAATTTGAATCCTTACTCTTTGGCGCCGAAACTAACCTCAAATCAAGCAAGTTGTCAAAATTCTTCCTCGGTAGCTCGGTATTTATTTAATTCCACTCAACTAAAATTAGAATGTCTTTCCAACCTTATGAATAAAACCTCAACTCATTCCCGTTTTTAAACTCCAAGAATTAGCTCTTCCTACTGTTCTTCCAAGCAAGCACAATGAAACCCAACATCCAAAAAGAAAATATCATCGTGGAAAACTTCATTGTTCATTACATGCTAAGTTTTAAACACCTTTGTTTAGTGACGGTAACGTGCCCCCTTCTAGCCCTCATCATCTGCTTCATAACCGCGTATATTTTCCAACCGGACGACATCCACGAAACCCATTGTCGTGTAAGTGGAAATTGTAATTTTTCTCCGTAAAAACGCATTTTTCCAGGTTTATAATATTATACCGTCAATCAGCGCAATCACAGGGATAAGCCCCCAGAGGTACTTGTGGAGAATCAGTGTCGCATTTCACATTGGACCAAGGTTTATCATAGCAGCAGTACACAAATCATACCATTTGAATCTGATCAATGTGTCGTCAAAACACCACGATAAGGCCAAGTGGTGGCTGAATTTGGCTTTCTGGTTAAATGTCCTGGAAATTGGGTCGCTGTGTGGGGTCACTTACATTTCAAACAGGGAAAACTATCGTGTGTTCACACTTGTGCAAAAATTTAATTAATAATCGAACAATTGCAGCCATTCATGAGAAATTGTTTATAATTTTCATGGTGAGCAGCCTTACGCACATGCTTGCGTGTATCAAAGCGATAAGATGGGTGGCGGAAACAAATAATGATCTTGAAAGTGTTCAGAAAGGTTTATTGATTAAGAAGTGTCTCCTAATTCTCTCACTGGTTAGTACAGTGGGACTTGTTACGTTTTTCCTCAAACACAGATTGTTGTGTCATGATATGGGTAAGTTGTTTGTATGTAATTCAGGCTTAATCTTTTTTTAAGCTTTCAGTTGGTTTGCGTTCTGTGAATACATAATTGCGTTGGCCAATATGGCATTTCACATAACAGTGATTTTGGATTTTCCTACTGAACATTTAGTTGTTGCAAAAGGATTACATCCTGTAACAAAAAATAATAAGTTTGATTGAAAATTTGTTACTATTGAGCTAGTCAATTATACTCTCTTTTTTTCTTAGTTTCTAAGTAAAGTGTTACATTCCATCAATACTGTTGTGATTATGATATTATTTTTACTTTTTTTTTCTATTGAATCTCATTGCAATAGACTGGACTGAACTGTATTTATTTTTTACAACTCCTATTTTTACATAATTATGAACCGTGGGTGAGTCTTATTTTTGATAACTGCCTAAACTTAATTATTGGTAAATTGTAGACTAAAATTTAAACAAGAATTAGTATTTTATATAATAACATTGGAAGAATTTTAACTTTTAGCAATATAGTTCAAACTCTTGTAATTGGACAAGTTCAAGAGAAGTTTTGCTCAGTCAAATGCTTCTAGTTATTTAGTCATGAAGGTTGAGGAGGCTACACTAATCAGACGTTGATAAGTCATTTTCCTTAACAATTATTTTAGTAATCTTTGTTCCCAATCGGGAGAATTTCATAGGTTTAGAACTAAATTAGGATTTTGTCTCAAAGTTCTTCGAATTGTCTTCAATAAAATTAACTTTAAGTTCCATTCTTGTAGGCTTTAATTTTCCGAATGAAGTTAACCTAGTCATGTGAAATGTATACATATCAGTTGTTTGAATAAAACTCAAAATAAACTTGTTTTCTTTCAATTTTCGAAGTGTCCAGACTAATTTAGTCAAAATTTAACCGCTGAAATACTATGAAAACCGCTGAGGTCATTCGGCATCGACTGAAACGCGGTCAAACCTTACGTTTTTTCTTAATAACTTCAAAATATTTTGTTTATGTTACTCAAAACATGTCTCTGAGTTAAATTTTGTGAGTAAATGCCAATTGTTTTTCATAATAAATCAAAAATTGATTTTTATTACAATATGTAATTACCCCAAATAAATTTGCTAGTGGTGCCAACGTTGACTATCATTTTTGTTAAAAAACATATGTAATTACCCTAAATAAATTTTCTAGTGGTGCCAACGTTGACTGTCATTTTTTGTTAAAAAAATAGGCTTTATTCAATTATTCACAAGATTTCAATAGTATTTGCGGTTAAATTTGCATTAAATCTTAATTCGTAAGAACTCTTTTGGAATAATCCATGCAGTTTAAAATTTTGGTGAGAAACAGAGTTGACCTGTCGGTATGTTAGTTCTCTGTAAAGTGTAGGGGTCGTGTTGGTGCTACTGCTTGGTAGATGTCGGTGAGTGCGTTTTCAGAGTTTTAAAGTTTAGGCGGGTGAGCGGAGTGGAGAAACGTGGAAGAAAACTGGCTTTAGAACGCTTACCATGCGCGTTTCAGGTGCGCTGTAGCCGTTGCGTTGTCTAGATTCTTTGTACCATTCCTGGCATACCAATAACAGCCAAACTCCTCATATTTACGGACCAAAATCCGTCCTAATTATCCCCAGAATCGGCGCAGGGCCCCGCAGTAATATTTTTGGTGAGTACTTATCAGTTTAAGGCCAGTTTTCATACAGTTTATGCAGTGTTTTAGGCTAAATATCCGTTAGAATGTGAGCAATGTGTCCACAATTCCTCCAATACTTTACATACTTGTCATGCTTGCTGTTACGAAGTTCTGACGACTGACATCGTCGGCGGGTCTCGGTCTTGCCTCAATTTCGAACGGGCTTTTCGCGAAATTTTTCACTTTTTTTTTTCTTTAATCGGGTGGAAAACGCGTGTTTACCATTGGGTCGATCGATCCGACCAGCGAGTGAATTGTGAAATTGTTGTGCTGGACATGTTGTGCGCTCGCTGACCGTTTCTTATTATGAATCGACACTTTGTTTACAACAATCGACAGTGATGTTTGGGGTGTCGTTTGTGCAATGATTTTAATCGACAGTGAACGGTGGTGATTGTGACGTCTGCCGACGGACTATTTGGATTATAACCACCTGTTCATAACAGCAAACGGGGGATGTATTTAGGTATTGCTAAAACGCGAATATTTAGCCTGAAACACCAGTAAATCGATGCATTAGAAAGGCGATTGAAATCGACAACGCTAATGCGAATATTGTAATTGCTAATTATGCTTTATTGTGATAATTTAGACGCGATTGCCGGATTTTATTAACACTTACATACGCTCATAAATATTGTGCATATCCGGGGATTCACGGAAAATTCTGCGCCAAAAACATGTAATTAATCATTATTTTAAATAAACGACAGGTGAATTATTATTTCGGCTCCGACAAAATTAGACAATAATAAGTTACTTCAAGTTTTCAGACAAAACTTCCGGTTTATTACGAAATCTTATTTGTGGACGAGCTCATGATGCGAGTTTGGTTTTCTTCTTTTTTGTTTTAAAAATACAGCCAATCAGTGAAAATTTGGTTTCCCTCAAATAAAAACAAGTTTTTATTGGCTCACGTGACCAGGAGCTGTCAAAAATGACACATCTTTCGTAACCAATTAGGTGAACAATTTTTTTTTACAAATAAAAATGTGATATTTGTAAAATAAAAATTTCTCAAGTCGAAGAATTTATTATTTGGTAAAAAATGTATTTAAACCCGGTTCAAATTTTTATTGGCACGTGACATTATCCCTCATTGAATTAATTAAACGGTGAACATTTATTGTTATTATTTAAATTGGTTTTCTTATATTTCCCATTTCTCAATTCTTTCAAATAGTGACCAAAATTTTACTTGGAAGTAAAAATATCTACACGATTCAAAAGGACAGTGTTTTGAAAGAATCATCTGTCTTTATTATTCCTCAAGAACATCTATGAAAGCTTCTTTTATTATTAATTGAATGTTTTGCAATTTCTTAAAATATTTTATTCTACGAAGTCCAAATGTTACAGACGGTGATGCGAATTTGTTTTTGTAATAGTTTTTGTTTTATAAATATAGCGAGTGTCTAATGATTTTGTGACTCACTAGATAACGAAAAAAATCGAGTGACGTAAGCAGTTAAATGTCAGTAAAAACCACAGGCAATGTACCAACATGTCAAAAAAAAAATGAATCAAAACTAATTAAATAATGGAGGACAATTTAATTGTTATCATTAGAAATGGCTTGTATGTCGATTACTTACAATTGTTTTTCAATAAAATACATTACAATTTACGAAATAATAATTATGCTAAAAATGGTTCTAATGCCTTGTTTCCAGACAGCGACGAGTATAAAATTTAAATTGCTTAATTTTCGCTATGAATTTCAATTTTAATGTTCATAAAAAATCGAATTTATTTTATTACATAATCCGGGCAATAAACTAAAGACATCCTGTATAAAATTAATTTGTTTGACTGATTTAAATGCGAGTAGAGCATCAAATTGACAATTTTCTGCCTCCAAGGTTAATCAAATCCGCAAATTCAGATTTAATCGATGGTTAATTTTTTTTTTACAGAATAATGTATTCCGGGTGAGATGTAATAACAATTTTCACATAATTTGCTCTAATCAAATGCGAATTAAACGATTTTGTGTATCACCATTGTGACATTTAAAATACCATAAAACTTTTGATTTTTATTGCTTTGAAACGAACTCAATATCGATCCAGTCGAACTAATTAAAATAAATAAAGAGACCTGATTGAATTAAACTTTTTGTGGGCTGCTTTTACTCAACATTATAGCAACATGAATCACTTATTATTACTGTTGATTATTTCTTTTAAAAACTTTTAACAGTATTGGTAATTATGATAAATAAATAAATACGTAAATAAGTCGGAGTAATAACATAATGTTTGCGCGTAATAATGCAAGCGATTTCCAGATAAAAATCGTTGATTAGTTGCACATTTGGGTTAATTAGCGCTTAATCATTGCACTTTTATCGTGTCCATACTTCGATTTTTTCGTCTTTAACCAAGCGAAACATTTCGAATAAATTTTCTCCGAGGGGAAAGGCCAAACAACTTTGAAATCTTTTTTCTCCTTCTGTATAAAACACGTTCATCCCTATTATTTATCGGCCGAGTCGCATATTCCGCGCGTTTCCTCGTCGCAGATTCTCGGTAAGATGGTCTCGCCATTTTTCTTTTATAAAAACACACAGTATGTATGTTTTTCGCGTCGGTAACGAGAAGTGTTGTTTTATTGGCAAGAGACGAAATTGTGTCGTCTGCAGTATAAATCTCGCATCTAAATATAAAGAGGATGTGTGGAAGAGATCTCGAAGAGGACGATAGGAGGAGAGTGCAACGTTTACCGATCTCAAAGACTGCACTCGGTCCAAGCTTAATTTTAGATTCGATGAAAATAAATTCTATCGTCGATCCGTTTGTTTGCCGAATGTCGTAAATGTTAGATGGAAAGTTACCAATCTCAAGAGCAGACTTGAAAAATTGGAGCAAATTAAGGCAAAATGCAAAAATACCAAATAACGCTCCCAAAATTTTTGTTGGTTAATAAAATTCCAAATTTACAACCGGTTTAAGTCTTAATATAATTCGATTAATTTGGCCGCGAAAATTAGCAAGGCCAGTGTGTCATGACTCCTAGAGAAGCCAAAATGTATTCGTTCTTGACTCAGGGAAGTCATAAACAAGTTGCTAAATAAAAACTAATGGTCTCCTTAACGATTTTATTTTATTCGAGATGTTATTTAACGATCTTGATCTTGTACCAGATGATGCAAGTCGGTCGTATCCAAATTATCGCTTTTTCCAGTCCCCAAGTAGCGAAAAGCCGAGTCTAGAAGTTCCAGATTGATAATTTCTATTTTTGGGGCCACGAAACAATAGTAAAACAAATAACCGATTTTTTATTTGGATTTTATCTTGACGTGTAACAATTTATCTTGGCAAGATTAAAGTTTATTTACTCAAAAGTGATACATTGTCATAGAATTTCCGTGAATTATCTTGCTTCAAAAATATGTTCCGAAGATTTGGGTGAATGTCAACTTAATGTTCACTTAGTTGAGTCTCTTTGAAACGACCGCGAGATATTTTGATCGCCATTTTATGTCCATCCATTAAATCCGGATTTTATTCATTTTATGTTAAATTTAGTAATGAAATCGTGTACGAATTGAGTAATGTGGTTTTGTGGCATTCTCGGATTGAATAATACGATTTTTTCCTTATCGGTTAAGCATTAAATTTTAATTGCTGATTAAAACTACTTTTACGGTCGCTACCTTTTATTTTAGAAATCATGACGAACTTTAAAAAGTTATCTTTTGCCTGTTCCTGACTCAAACTCATATTTAATTAAAGGAAGATTCATGTTCATGTGCGGATATTACCGTAATATTCAAATTAATTTATGATGCAATTAAATCGGTGAAAGCTCACAACGGATTTTAAAAATCCAAAAATTAAGTGCACAAGTGTTCATTTTTTATTTATAGATCTGTATAAAACACGAAAATAAACCAATGACCCAATAACATACGAGGACATGGTCTAAACCCAACCGCGGATTTACCCATGGGCCATGGGGCCACCTCTTTCATAAATCCGATAAAATCTACATCTTTCCGTGTTTCACAAGTCGCAAAGTAGAGCTTATTCCATATCTGGTGGCGAACTGACAGTGCCAGAAAAGACACTTGGAGTGCACCCACTTGGTTAAGATAAAAAAATACATGGGCGTACTTTTTTTTCTCTAAAAATTTTGAAGACAAAGATTGTTAGGAATATCGTTT